GGAAAGCCACTTGACCATTGTGAAAAAGATCGATCAACATTACACCGAGACAATCAGTCAAATCACAGTAAATGGTTTTTATTGTCCAAAATTATTAAAGGGAAGCAAACAGCAACTCGAAACCCTCTAACAGAACTATTTAACCTAATCCTACTGAGGATTGGTGCCTCCCCGAAGTCGCACTGATTATGTTTCCTAGCTTGCGAACAACACTTCCAGCTCGGAGAACTCACCAACATCGGCCTCTCGTATTATTTGTTTGATATTGGAACCAATGAAAACAGTATTGATGTGACTTAATCGTCTGTAGTTATTGAGGTGAATCACAAACCATTAGTAATCGAGAAATAGTTTGCATATATATATGTATATATAATGTATACCGAAGATAAAAATCAGCGTTTATACTGTTTGTGGATTACTGAATAAGGTTATCAGACCTTGTATATCGATGGACGCTTTTTGAATATTAGACTGGATAGAATATTTGGTCCATTCAGTAAGGGGAGTTTGGAACAATGATGCTTTTTATCTCTCCAAGAACAAACTTGTTACTTTACTGTTTTTATTGTTCACACTTGATTTACCTAACTTGACGAAATACACACGACATCAAATTTTAAAATATACTATACTATACTATATTTAGTATGCTCTTATCACTCTACTGCGGACTAACTTTCATACAAGCAAAAGTGATCCCCGACTGCGAAAATGGCACATCCTTTTCGCAATTTTTCTCCGACTGAATAAAAGACCGTATAGATCCGCAAGTTTTTAAACCCTAAACTACCGATCTGGAATCGGAAATAAATCAATTTAGTATCAAACTGCCGCGCCTAATACCCCACCCCTTGGGCTCCATATTCCTCTACCCATAAAACCCTATTTTTAATATAGTATCCATCGAAATTTCCTCGCGCAGCTGTGCAACCAAGAACCACTATCCGCGCATACCACTTGAAATTTTACTCTGGGTTAATAGCAAGGAAAAGTTACTAAAAAAGAAAAAAAATAGTGTAATAAGTGAAGCATTTACCATTACACAAAAAAATGTAAAATTATGCACAAAAGTAATTCTCATTTGCCACCATCTTGATTTTGGCACAAAT